ATACTAGAAATTATAATATAGTAACATCACAATACCAAAATCTGGTTTAATCCAAAAACATAATAAACCACACTTATCCATATTAGTTTGTATTTAAAGACAATACAAAGACACACAAAATCATGACTTAATTTGGACACACATTGAGTGCACTATTCGTGTCACTCATTGTCATCTATTTTTATATTCAATTTATTTAATACTATTTGTATTTTATAATCAAAAGTTAAAATAAAACTTAATTTTGTTTTATAAATCAATTGACGACTGCAAACAAAACTTTATTTCATTTGAACGCAAAAAGTGTTTCAAAAAACTTTATAAACTATTCGCAAATTGACTCATATCTTACATATTCAAAAATATTTTCAAGTTCATTAACCATTGAATTCATTTTTCCTTATATTTTATTTGTTATTAAAGAAATAAACGATATGTTGATATATTTATAATGATTAGTTTACAGTTATCAGCAGTACTAATATTTTTATGCATATTGCTAATAATTATCACGGTATAATTTAAATTATTTTATTAACAGACTTGAATGGATTGGGATATTATAGAAAATACAAATATAGGTACTACTTAAATACAAACTAATATGGATAAGTGTGGTTTATTATGTTTTTGGATTAAACCAGATTTTGGTATTGTGATGTTACTATATTATAATTTCTAGTATAAAATAGTAAGACTTATCTAACTTTAATTTTACAATTTTAAAGACAGTATAAAAAGTAAAGTACTTTAGAGTATTAAATATAATTTGATTATTATAAATATTTATAATTTATTAAAATTAAAATACCAATTACCAACTATAAATATTAATAGATAATTTTAATTGTTTATTTAGTAAAATGTTGCAGCAAAACATAATTTGAAACACAAAGAATGTTAATATTATTAACCTTGAACATAAAAGAATAATTCGCTTGTGAATTAATATGATGAAACTAGTTTTGTATGATTTATCCCCCGATTCTGTATAGAAATTATAAGCCATTACCTGGACTCATATACGCAAACTCTTTTGGTAATAATAATCATTAATGTGTAAATGCACTTATCATTATATATTATATGCACTGATTTTTAGTTGTGTTTCAAATCTGAAATCAACTCTCATTCAAAAAACTTATGGTTTTTTCTATTTCTTAGAAATATTTTTATTAATTATTCTATTTTTAGTGAATTTTTTTTGTCAAGAATATATAATTAAGTTTTATTACAAACAATTTATTTGTGGTTCAAACGCAATTGCCAGATACCTTATGCTTATATATTTTTGTGGACTTAAATATACAAATAAAAATAAGTAGTTGAAAACTGAAACCTATTTTTATAGTTCTGTCAAAGTGTGTTTATAATATAAAATTAATATAATTGTTGTGTGAATATAATTATTATTTAACCCTCAACTTAAATTTTAATATAACGAGTTTCCAAGAAAACCTGTCTTAAAGATATTATTTCTAATTTGTATTTAATTCTTATTAAAATTATTCATTTAATGTTTACTAAATACAAATATTATTTGCGATAAATAATAACATGGGTGACAAAGAAATCACGAAAATATGTAGTGTTTGTGGATATAAAGCATTTGGTATGATATAAAATGCTTCACGCTAATTAATCACAAATTTTTGTATATTAACATTAATAACAAACATTAATAAATAATTATTATATATTCAGGTAGAAACTTTGGTGCCGTATCATGTGAACCTTGTAAAGCCTTTTTCCGTAGGAATGCCTTAAGAAATACTGTAAGTATTAACTTTGTTATTTGTAAACTAATAGTAATTTAATAAATTGTTTGGCCATCAAATTATAGCTCAAATGCCATTTAGATAATAACTGCAAACTCGATGAAATCACCCGGAGGTTTTGCTCAAAGTGTCGATTAGACAAATGCCTGGCCGTCGGAATGAGACGGGTATAAATAGAAATACACAAGGTCATGATTATAAATATTAAACCAAGTTTTATATGAGAAAGGACTTGATATTGAATGAAGAGGAACGGGAGATGAAAAGACTTAAGATATTAGAAAACAAAAAGAAAAAGGATAACACTTTTAATAGTAATGATGAAAGTCCTCAATCATTGATACACTCATCGCAGGAAACATCGCACGGAAACCACATCTCAAACACCAATAATAACACAAATAATGATATTTTATGCGAAATACTCGATGACAACAATTTCAGTGCCGATGCTCTCAACCAACAGATTATGGACATAGAGAGAACTGTTTCCAAAGATTTCATTGATAATATTGTAGACAATAGTTTTGATAACACGATAAATGATCAGCAAATTGGTGTATATAATAATAATTGTAATGAAATTAATTCACAATCCGGTTATGTGTCAAACGAGACGATCGAAAAGACCGTAGAGTTTAGTGTTTCGGTGATACCTATCGCGAGGCCTCTAAATGAATGCAACACTCGTTTCAATGAAATGGAAATTTATTTACTGAAAGAGATGAAGACATGCACTCAGCTTCTGGGGGCTCCGATGAGCACTAACACTAAATTCTTGGACACTATGTATGATATTCATCAGTCATTTACCACCAAATATGACACATCCATAAGAGATCAAACAAAAGCTGTCAAATGGTTGTCCGCATTCAGAAATATTTGTTGTGAGGACCAGATCTCACTACTGAAGTACGGGTGCTTTGATATCATATTCTTGAGGTCTATCCTATATTTTGATTACACAGATAATACTCTCAAAGTTCCCATGGTATGTCACATTAATTTACATTTAATTGTATAATATTTAAGCTTGGTCTAACTTATTGTTCATAGGATACGGAACACTCGATTGTAGTAAAAGTAGATTATTTGAAAAATATTGATTATTATTATAAGCCGTACACTAAATTTGTGCGAAAAATGGCTACCATTTGGGACACCGACATCACTATACTTGATTTGGTCTGAATTAATTTTTAAATATTATATGTATTTGTAAAACTTATATTGATAATTAATTCAATCATTTTGATAGATGTCATCAATAACTTTGTTCAATCCCGATCGTCCAAACCTTGCTAATAGAAACGTTATCAAGTAAATAATTATATATTTTAGAGTATTATTTTATATCGATTTTAACTTTTGAGATTTACATTTTCTAGTTATATATGTATTATTAATTGATTTTATGTTTATTTGTCACACAATATAGACTCCAACAACACATTTATATGCATTTATTGCTTAGATATTTACAATTGAAGTATCGATCGGAATGTGAGGCAAAGTCGCGTTTCTTGAGACTAATGAATATAATAATGGATTTAAATGTCTTAAGAGAGGCTCAGAGGAAGATTATAAAGGAAGAAACGCCAAAGACTTTGATTCCGCCACTTCTGGAGGAGGTCTTTGATATGACACCTGTTTGTTAATAAGACTATTGTATAGTATACGCGCAGTCATTGATACCAAGGAATAAAAATACTATTTTAATAATACAGATATATTTGAGTGCAATGTTAATGTTAAGCCATTGTTTGGTTAAAATGCGAAGCTTGTATTTATTGTATTCATATTAATTTTGTTCAAATCGTTATATAAGTACAAATAAACCTGGAATCACATATTTTAAAAGCAAATTAAATTTGATTACTTTATCATTTTGTGCATAACTTATCTTGTTTTTAAAAAACATGTTGCATTTTTTCATTTTGATATATTTAGTTTATTAACTATAATATACTTAACTATAAATAAATAGTAATTTAAAAATTAAGCACATTTTATCCATATGTCTAATTAGTTAACCTTCAATCAGCCTTAAACCCCAAAATAATATTATAAAAGATTATGTAATACAAAATATGTTCACAAACCAACAGTAAATTACTAACAGTCGTTAAACTTCTCACCTGACAAACTTATATAAAATATAATAAGTTAATAACATTTAATAACCAACCATAATATATTTGTTTACAACATAGCAATATTTCAGGAAATAATATTTATGAAATAGAAATTAATCTCAATTGCCAAATAGTTAAAACTTATTTAAATATCATTTTCAAATAAATCATAGTTTACTTTCCGTTTATTACTTATAAAATACTTTAAGACTACATAAATTGTTTAGTTAATGAAAAAAATCACTATTATCCAAATGGGAAATTAGGCAAAATTTCATGTGAATTAATCTTTAATATTAAAATATTTCAATGACTTTACAATTGCTAAATACTTCCAGTGAATAATTAAAGGTTTGACCAGACTTTAGAAAGGTATGCAATTATTTTTGCTAAAAATCGCAAAATATTTGTATTCAAAACTATTTTCAAATTCATTAACCATTGAATTAATTTTTCCTTATATTTTATTTGTAATTAAAAAATAAACGATTGTTGATTTATAATGATTAGTTTATCACCAGTACTAATATTTTTTATGTATAATTGAAATTATTATAAACATACTTGAATGGATTGTGATAATATTTTTATTGCAATATACAAATAAAGGTATTACAAATTACAAAATTACAATACAAATTAATCTAGATACGTGTGGTTTATTATGTTTTTAGGTTAAACCAGATTTTGATATTGTGAAGCTACTATATTACAATAAATACAGCTGTATAGCTCTAGTTGCATATTACTATAGTTGCTAAACAATAGTATAGCTACTTTAATACAATCTGTGATGTTACTATATTATAATTTCTAGTATAAAATAGTAAGACTTATCTAACTTTAATTTTACAATTTTAAAGACAGTATTAAAAGTAAAGTACTTTAGTGGATTAAACATAATTTGATTATTATAAATATTTATAGTTTATTAAAATTTAAATAGCAATTACAAAATATAAATATTAATAAATAAATGATAAATGTTAGAAACACAAAAGGCAATTTGAAACACAAAAAATGTTAGAATCATTAACCTTGAACATAAAAAATAATTCGCTTGTTAATTAATATGATGAAACTAGTTTTATATGATTTATCCCCGATTCTATATAGAAATAATAAGCAACTAACTACCTTAGACTCTTATACGCAAACTCTTGGGTTAATAATAATCATCAATGTATCCATACATTTATATCCACTGATTTCTAGTCGTGTTTAAAATCTGAAATCAACTCTCATTCAAAAAACTTATGGTTTTTTCTATTTCTTAGAAATATTTTTTTAATTATTCTATTTTTAGTGAATTTCATCGTCAAGAATATATAATTAAGTTTTATTACAAACAATTTATTTGTGGTTCAAACGCAATTGCCATCTACACTATGCTTAATATATTTTTGTGGTCTAAAATATACAAATAAAAAAAATATTTGAAAACTCAAAGCTATTTTTACAGCTCTGTTCAAGTGTGTTTATAATCTAAAATTAATATAATTGTTGTTTGAAAATAATTATTAATTAACACTCAACTTAAATTTTAATATAACGAGTTTCCAAGAAAACCTGTCTTAAAGATTTTATTTCAAATTTGTATTTAATTCTTATTAAAATGATTTATGTAATGTTTACTAAATAAAATCGCCTAATTTGCCATAAATAATAACATGGGTGACAAAGAAATCACGAAAATATGTAGTGTTTGTGGATATAAAGCAATGGGTATGGTATAAAATGCTACA